GCTTGTAATACTACATCGAACCATGTATAATATGAGTACTTTTTAGAGAAAAAGTAATTTTTGGTTTCGATCTCGGTCCCCTGAGGTGTCTTGTTGAAAAAAAGTATTTTTTTGTAATTGAATTTCATTATTTAATCGATTATTAGACATATGAGTTATAATTTTTTGAGACACAGAGTTTATTGCGAAAACAAATGTCATACCTGTTTAATAACCAAAGAAATGTTAACTATGAGAGAAAGACCATATATCTGTCGAATTTTTCAGTTTTCAAATTCTAGAACTATATTCGTTGGATTTCTGATCTGATGCGAAATATTACTAGCGACAAATTCTGTTTTAAATTGAGTAAGTATTTCTCAAGTTGTTTTTCGCACAAACAAAGTGGGTTGCTCTTTTCCTGAGTAACTGTATACTACAGAACATCGTAAATTATTTTTAGTTTGAACTGAACTTTCTTCAATTTTCATGAAAAAATATTCCCAGTATAACCTTTTTTCTAACAGAAAGTATCAGTTCACTTAAATCTTTTATTTTTTTCAAGTTTAATTGTGTATACTTTCTTTCGTTGTCGAGTTCATAGAATCTTTTTTTTAATTCAAAATAATATTTATTTATATTAGAAATAGAGAGAAAAAATTTTTTTATACTTGAAGAACATAAGATAAATTTACATATACTACATATATGGAATGATCAAGAAGATATAAAGTTGTATTAGATAATCAAAAGGCAAGATTTTTCAACATGTGTCAATAGCAAACAATAACAAAACGAGAATCAATAACAAGACTGCTTTATTGTCAATAAGAAAAAAATCTTTCATGAAACACTATTCTTACTAAATAGTCAACATTTATCCAAATCTTCTTATTCATTCTCGAGTTCTCTGGAACTAACGAAGGAACCTCTCGAGATGCCCACTTCCGGTTCAGATACGTTGTACATGGATCGATAGATCTCAGTGAAGTAGTAAATACCCTAAAATGATTCCGGCCTATGACTCTTGAAGGTTCGGTTTTCTGGAAAACCAGTTTTTCAGAAACTTTAAAAAATAACCAAAACCTTTGTTTAATGAGGCATGATTGTGGCCTGCAAATTACTGATTAAAATGAAACATCCCCCAACTCTACACGGCCTTTCTTTGCAAAGTTAGAGAATTTATAAGAAGAGCCCTAAATGTTCATTGTCAGCTCAAAGCTACAGAAATAAGAAGAAAGTAATTTAAGGCTTTTCTTGTAAATTCTCTAACCTTGCGAAGAAAGGTCGTGTAGACCTGGGAGATGTCTCGTTTTAATCAGAAATCTGCAGGCCACAATCATGCCTCATCAGCAAAGGTTTTGGTTACTTTTTAGAATTTCTGAAAAACTGGTTTTCCAGAAAACCGAGTCTTCAGGAGTCATGGGCTCGAACCATTTTAGGGTATTTACTACCTCACCGAGATCTATCGATCTATGTACAACGCATGTGAATCGGAAGTAGGTATCTCGGGAGGTTCCCTCATAACTGTAACCACAAACTCTTTACGCCATTATTTTAAAAATTTTAAATGCTGTTTTATGTTTATCAATTGTTACTTCATGGTTTTCTTGAAAATGACGAAAAGATTCGTCGAAAGATCGAAATAACGTTATGATGAAATTACTAGTTGCTGTTAAGACAATAATATTTTTACTCAAATGTTTGCCCATACAAAACTCAAATTATTTAAATGCTGTTGCTCAACGATTACTCAAAACTGATTGAACGATTGAAACGGATTTTTTTTCTTCTGTTTCATAGATGATGATATCACCATCTATGAAATAGAAGAAAAAAAATCTATTTCAATCGGTACGACTAATTGTTCATTTCACTTGATGCAGCGAGTTATCCGAAACAAAAACGCTTGCGACAAATTACCAGTTGCCAAAGCCAATTGACTGCAACGAATTGATCCGGCACCAAAAATTCATAGATATATCAAGTCAATAATTTATTTGTCTTCAAATTGCGTGTCCCTAGTGTTAAAAGAAAACGTTATGTATGGTTTCAACCCATGTTGTTTTCGTTTAACTTTATTCTGATGCTGATTATTATTAACGAAATGAAGGTCAAGCGAGATCATCATTTTTCTACTTTTTTTTTAATGAAAACAATTCTTTTACAAACTATTTTAAAAGACTTTCTCATACTATTGACTTTTTAACTGGTGAAGTAGAGCTGATATTGGTTTCAGATACGTTTTTTTAACATCTGATCAGCATTTAAGGCGCCAGTAGTTTCATAATTCATAATTATAAATTCCCCAGAGATTTTATTATGATCCATAATAATATTATTTTTAACTTCATAGAGCCCTCTACCCTCAGAAAAACCAAGGGGGAGCTTCAAAGGTTGAAGAGTATAAGATAATTCTGTCCTCCTTGGTTTTTATGAAAAAAATCTCGTGTTTAATTCTCGAGGTTTTAATTTTTTCTCTACCCTTTCATTATTTTATAACTTAAAGAAAGTATAAAAGAGGTAGAGAAAAACTTAAAACTCCAGGTTAAACCGGATTTTTCTATGGAACTCACACCCTCTAAGAATTAGAGGAATAAATTCATGGAATTAAAGTAGTAAATTTAGAAAGATTTGAAGTTACGTATTTCACTCTTTTTGATTTTTAGACTAAGTTGGTAATAATGAAAACTAAGTTAAGTATCAGCCCTAAATCAAATTTGCAAGGATTTTGGCATAGCACCTTTATAAAAAACGCATCACCGAAGGATAATTAAGTTCTCTTCTAATTTTAAGGATTATCTCCTTTAACCTTCAATGGAAATTCAAGAGGATTAGCACTTTGGAAGACTCAAAAGACAACCTCCCTCATAAACTCGGCAGGAATTCACCAGGGATATTACCCAACGTTCTAGATCCAGAGCATATTTCAAGATTTTTTCCTTCAATGGCCAGGGAGGTGGATAGCCCTGACTATTAGTGGTTGTGTTGTTCACTTTATTTAGGGAACCGTTATAGCATCTCTCAATCCAAACACCCGAAAATAGGTTAAATTTCGAGTTCTTTGGTTTGAATATCAAGACAGAAGAAATATCCAAGGAAAGCATAAATCCAGGCTTACATATACATGGGCAACAGAATGAAATTTGAGGCTAGGGATCATTCCCCTTAATCTATCCTTAGGATCTCGGAACCAACCCCTCAGTGCTAAGACTAACACTGATAGAATTTATCTCCTATTCATTTTAAAATTAATTGCGAATTGGATAAAGAATAGTTTAACTGCTGCACGATGCTGACGTTTTCAGGCCATTTTAAAGTATTTTATAACCTTTGTTAATTCTATTTCAATTAGTATTTTTTTTTTCTTATATGATGGCATGTTATTTTGATAGATGTACAATTTTATTTTTTGAATAAAAAAGAACAAAACAAGTGAGAAAAAAATGTCATTATACCTCCATGTTGTAGATTATTTACATTCTTGACTTCTCTTCTTCTTTGTATGTGACAACAACAATGATAGAGGTAGAAAAAATTAGTATTTTATTCCCATAAGGTTTATTAACAAATACAATAGATCATGATTTAATTTTGTCAAGTATGTGTATACGTGTGGCTATAGAGAGCAATATTTGATTTTAAAATAAAATAAACTAATAAAAAAAAAGCTAGGTGAAGAACAAAAACACTTTTGTTTTTTGTTTTTTTTATTATTAACGAAAATTGACACACACTTATTATCAAAAATTATTTAATGCGATTTTTAATACATGCGAAAATATTGCCAATTTTGAGAGTAAGCTTATAGATATCGTCTTTATTGAGATTGACTTTGCAGGCTCAGATAAAAAGAGATGAACTGTTTCAAGGCTGTTTTCAATTTCTTTTTCGTTCAAATAAATTCTTTTTTTGCAATCGAATGTTTTAAAAAGTTTTCAGAGCTTTGTTTTCACCTAGTTTTAAAAAAACTCATACCTCAATCAAAATACTTTGCCTTCTCTAATAGATTGTTTCGTAGAATACCTTTCAATAGACAAATTCTCGGTATGGTTTGGATTTTTCCCCCAACAGAAACATTGTAATCAGGTTCATTGTAGTTAGTTATATGGGTTCGATAGATGCTCAAGATTACTTCAATTCACCGGGTACTAGTTCTGAGACTGCAACGAAATTCGATACCATACTCGAACCACTGAAGATTGTGATTTCGTTTGATTTTCACGTCAGAGAGGACATTTTGAACTATCGATTCATGTAAGACAACCACTATATGACCACTTTAAGTTTTGGAGAACTAGGTTATAGACTTCCAAATTCCTGACATCTTAAATACTGATCAGGTGTCAAAAAAACGTATCTAAAACCAATATCAGCTCTACTTCACCATTTTAAAAAATCAATAGTGTGAGAAAGTCTTGTAAAATAAATGATAAAAAGATGTTTTCCATCAGAAAAAGCGTTTTCAGTAAACAATGTCGATTAGCAAAGATCCATGCCAAAACAGTTAATAATAGTGAGTAATGAAAATTGAATAGCAGTTCTTCTTGAAGGAGTTCAAATATCTTTTATTAGAATCATCTTTTACTAGAGGTGATAAATTATAGTAAAACACGGACCATCAGTAAAAGTAAGATAAGTGTTTCTAAGCAGGTCGGGCTGACGACTATCCTGTTCCTTACAGACTTCAAAGATACTACATTTGAATCATGGCGCCGACAAGTTATGAACTTATCTTGAGCAGGTCACTTATCTTTCTCTCTCGGACAACCCGTCCGATAGCATACTTACGAGATTGCGACACACAACATAGTATCGCTAGTTTGCTAAAAAGCTAATACGTACAGAGTAAGTGTGTATGGGAAACTCTCATAATCTATCATGTTATTTACCTGTTACTTCTAGATGCTTTTGTTTTCCGTTAAAAATGACAAAAATCTAATCTACCTGTATTTATAATATTACAAGCTGAAAGTCGATTTAAAAACAGCTAACAGCCACTGATTCAGCTCAATTCCACAATGTATACTCCTTTAACCCAAATTCCCCCTCATTATCGTGGAACATCATTCAGTAACAGTCTCGGTATAAGAGTGTCATATCAAAATAAAATCGGAAAAATCAATGAAAACACTTCATATACAGGCAATGCTAATACCAACAATAATAACAACGGATCATTACATCACTTTAATATGAGAGTAACCGAAGGTAAGAATAAGATACTTTCTTTGATTAGACAATTTTTATAAAAGAGGTAAAATGTACTGTTTGGAAGTTCATTCCGTGCAAGTTGGACACTTCATCATATCTTTCACCGTCTCACTTATAAACTGTTACAAAACTGAGCGAGTTCGAGTCTGAAGTCGAGCCGTTTTTTGATGGGCTCAGACTCCAACTTAATTTTATGTTTCGAGTCCGAGTCATTATTATTCAAAACAAAAACGTTAACGTACTGATTGTTTGTACTGATTGTATTTATTGTTCAGCGTGAACTAAGTTTTAGTTCATATATCGTAGTTCATTATTCGCTATTTTCTTAACAATCACTATAGGATGTGTTTTCAAGTAGCCAGAATTATATTTAACGAATAAAGCTTGTAAAAAACTGTAACACATCTAAAACACTAAAGCTATTAGTACTTTGCTGTTAAGTTTCCAAGTGCCTCCTTGCTGTATCAATGGTAAAATGGAGCTCTATAGGTAGGTTTTGTTAGTAATTATGAATCTGAAATCAGTTGCGACACATACGTCATCTTTGAATCAGCGTTTTAGATAAGCATTCCTGAAAAGTTTGAACTAATCTTTATAAACTTTCTTTTTGATCTTATCAGTTCATAAAGAAGAATAAGTCAGTCACTTACGGTCACCAATCATTATCAAAAACGGATCAATTATTTTTGCAAATAATACAAAAATAGCGTAGAGTACACAATTTCTTTTTAGAAACTCCCTCATAATTGGTAATGATTTGTGACCGTAAGTGACTAACTTATTCCTCTTTATGAACTGATACGGTTCAAAAAGAAAGTTTATAAAGATTAGTTCAAAATTTTCAGGATCCCTTAACTAAAACGCTGATTCAAAGACGACGTATGTATCGCAACTGATTTCGGATTCATAATCACTAACAAAACCTACTTACAGGCTCGATTTTACGAGAAAACCAGTCTAACTGTCCGATCACTTTTTTCACGAAAACTTATTGGACAATAGGTAATCGAGTGTGCTGAATCTGAATATCATAGTGGTTTGGGCGTCTAGGCCTCCAGAGACCGGATTTCTGGAAAACCAGTTTTTCAGAAACTCTACAAGATAACCAAAACCCTTCTTAATGAAGCATAGCTGTAGCCCACACATTTTTGATTAAAATGAGACATCTCCCAGCTCTACACAACCTTTTTTTGCAAAGTTAGAAAATTTATAAGAAGAGCCCTAAATGTTCATTGTCAGCTCAAAGCTACAGAAATAAGAAATTAATTTAGGGCTTGTCTTGTAAATTCTCTAAATTTGCAAAGAAGGTCGTGTAGACCTGGGAGATGTCTCATTTTAATCAGAAATGTGCGGGCTGCAATTATGCCTCATTAAGAAAGGTTTTGGTTACATTTAGATTTTCTGAAAGACTGGTTCCAGAAGACCGGTCTCTGGGGACCTAGACGCCCAAACCACTATGATATTCAGATTCAGCACACTCGATTACCTATTATCCAATAAGTTTTTGTGAAAAAAGCGACCGAACAGTTGGAGTGGTTTCCTCATTAGCATTGATACCGCGTTGAGACACTTGAGAGTTTCTCTCGTCGATAATTTTGTTTATAACAACAACAAACTTTAGTCTCTTTCTTGGAAAAACGTTATATACCCACTTTTTAGGAATAATTTAAGGCTCCACTTATTACTGAACCAAGAATACCCTTTTACACACCATTTAATCACTATATATCGACACTTCTTCTTAGGTTTACATCGTTATCGAGACTTAAAACGTAATTGGTCGAAAAAACCTAATGTATCGGAAGAACAAACTACCATTAATCAATCATCAACAATATCGACAAAACATCAACGTTTTCAGCTCCCTTCTATCGAACATCGAAAAAAACGTTGTCTATTTCAAGAAAGTAAAAAATCAACGGAAACAAAATCATTTTTGCAAAATGACACTTCTTCTCATAAATTGTCAACGGCTGCTGAGTATTTAACAACGACAAATGAACGAAAAAATAGTAAAAAATCGTCTAGAACAACAGTACTTAATTCTTATTTACATGCAAAACAAAGTTATGAACAGCCAGAACAGACAAAAAATCAAAATATCATTAGAAAACCCTATTGTCTAAATGATTATATTAATGAGGATAGAGATGAAATTGATTTAGATCCATTACATGTTCGTATTCAACAAGATTTAATGAAATTAAGAAAATTAATTAAAGCTCGACAACGACGAGCAGAACGAGAACGAGAGAAAAATTTACAAGCAAAATTAAAATTATTAAATGCAACTAAATTTGCTAATCAAAAATCAAACAAACATTTGAATATTGAACAAATTCTTCGTAAACTTCAAGAAGAATATGATGCTGTGCCACAAACAGAAACAAATGAAGAGGTATGAGTATTCAAATCTAATAATAGTACAGTTAATATGCATCGTTGTTCGCATAAGGAACATTATATAAGAAAAAGAAAAATAATAGAGACAAAAAAGAAAAATATCCTCGTACTAATATACAGAGTTTAATTTTGAATTCTTATTTCCTGTAATAAATAAAACAATTTAAAAATATTCTAAAAATAAATATTCATTAGTACTTTTAAATAATAGTACTTTGATTGTTTCAAACATATGTTTAAAGTACATGTCACTAGAATACATTCTTCTTTTACCACATATATATAATTACTCAGTAAACAATTACTGTATTCTACAGCTGATTTTTTTTCATTTTTTTTTTTTTTGCTTTAGACTGGAGGCAACGTACAAAATGTTGGTGATTTTGATTGTCAATCAAAATCAAAAGCAACCACAACTACATCGTCAGACATCGCTGCTACTAATGAAACGGCGGATTTTACAAAAATGAAACATTTTCTTTCACAACAATTATCAAATGAGGAACGTCAACAACAGCCGAAACAAGCAAGACATACAACATCTTCATCTGAATCTCATATATTACCATCAACAGAAAGTGGAATTGGTTCAAGTATATCCAGTCAATGTTCACAATATAATAATAATAATAAAACAATTTTATCAACGGTACACCAAAAAGAACATCAAACATTATCGGGTATAAAAGTCGGAGATTTAATTACACATAAAAATAAAAATAAACAGAGTACGATTAAACAGGCAAAGTCACAACAGACACGTTCAATTTTTAATATTCAAAATTCAAGATTAAATAGTCAGGATAATGTTCAAACATTGCCATCAACACAACAACGAAGAGCGTATATTTGTAGCGTTACGCCAGAAGAAGACGAAGATCAAAGTGAAAATAGTGATGTGGATGAAGAAAATGAAAATAATATAGATGAATTTTATCGTTTAAATCGTTATACACTTCATCGTATATCAGAAAAAAGGCATGAAAAACCCACTTCAACTGTTATTCAATATTCACCGCATGATATTAATCGAATACATAGGGAAAAAGATCTTCAAAACTATCATCATCAACAAGAACAACAACAACAAAATTCCATTGATGAGATTCACCCTAAATTACAACGATTAAAAGTAAAATTAAAATTACCTCAACCACTTCTACAATCAAAACGAATTGAAAAACAAAAGCCTGGTTATAAAACTCTTCCTACATCATCAAAAAACGATAATGAATTTGATTATAATGATGGTGATGATGATGATGATTACTCAACAGTAGACGGTTGTCTAGTTCGTTATACGTACGCTGGATCAAGTAGTAAAAATCAAGTTAAAAATACTCTTATTGATAATAAAACTTCAACTCTTCTTCATATTCTATTTACACCTGGTACATGTATTCAAGAAGATGTCAAAGATGGCGTTGAATGTTTAGTCAATTATAAACAATTAATTGAAAATTTACCAAGACCGTTAATTGATATAGACAATGATGATAAACATTTATTTGATCGATTACAACGTATCCGAGATACAATGCCAGATACAAATGTTTATGACTCTTATAAAAGATATTCTAATCATTCATAATTTTCTAGAATTTTTTAGACAAATTCTAGACGTCTCTCCTCTTCTTCGTTTTGTTATTATATGGAAGAGAAATGGTATGTGTATAGATTCTAGAATTTGGTATCAAGAGGAGGGATCATTTTTTACTGCTCTTCTCTATTATTTAACTTATATTAAGAGAAGTATAGGCAGTTTTAATTGTTTTAAAGTGTAAATTATTTGCATCATAACTTGATTTATCTTTAACAACAACAATTTCTAGGATGTCTCCCGGTGAATTACACTGTGGATAAAAAACATCTTTCTTCATTTTATACGAACAAAATGAAAAATATTGACTTATTTGAGAATATTTTTTACTTTTTATAAATACTGATTAAATTTTTTCTTTTCTTTTCTTGTTTTGATTTTTATTGAACATTAAAGTATAAGTTTCCACACTAGTCGGAAAAGAAAAGGAAATATATTCAAACAATTCAAAGTATTTAAAAAATAAAACATTTTTAACAATTAAGGATATAAAGTGCTTAAACTTTTTATTGAGTAAAAACTATTTTTCATATACCTTGCGGACAAAGACATCAGACTGTATAGAAAATCAATCAGTCTATAACAAGCGACCGTTGAAAAGTGTGCTAGAATAAAATACATTAAACTCAGAATCAGTACAAATGATAAGATCAGTATGAATTGATTGCCTAAGATGTTTTTTTAGTCTTGAAAGCTTGTCCTTCCAAAAACAACTAGCAATTGAAGGTAACAGGTGCGGCAGAATAAATTGCGCTCTTAGTATTTCTACAATAAATTTTTCAATTTTTATCGCTCAGACTTAATTTTGCTTTGAAACGGTTAACTTTTAAATGAAAATAGAAATTTTTGTGTTCAATTTATTCTTTACTTTTTATCGTCTGAACAAATGTGAAAAAAAAAGGTAGGAACTTTATTAAAAAAAACACTATTGAAAGTGGGCCATGTCGGAGGTTCATCGTAGTATTCCTATAACTTTCTATTTTGACATTTTACAAGAATTCCATTTCATAGATTTTTGTAGAGAATTGAACAGGTAAACTTTTAAAAAACAATTAAGTTTGAACGATGAAAAATAAAAAAGTGATCGTTGAAAAACTGAGCCATTTATTCTGTCACATCCGTTCTAGTAGCTGTGTCAATTTTCTAAAATTTTGTTTCGAGCACGCGAGGGTTCTGATTAAATTTTCACCTAACCATCATGATTACTTGTTAGCCTGTTTGTAGACTAATCTATGTTTTACTAAGATTATGTCGTAATTCATTATTTCTTTTGTTACTCAAACTGTAACAGTGTTTACCACTGTTTTTCTTCACACATCCCTATTTTTAATAGTAATATCAATAACTCAAGCCGTGTGTAATATTGAGTACAATAAGATTGATAGTGACATTGAACTCGATTCAATAATAAAAGATGTAGTGAATAGTTAAGCGTTATAAGTTTTGATAAACAGAAAAAATCAACATTTAGTGTATAATCCGTGACACGTGTGGAACTTATGTCTATGTTCAACAAAAGGCGACGATAAGTTATTGACCCCAAAACGGGATATGTATGAGTTTGTAGAGGAAGAGTTACTCTATTCAGTAGTGTATATATTGTCGAATCCTAATTAGCACCGGCAGAAAAATTGCAACGTAATCCCTCTTTTTTTGGACTTTTTTAGAAATTTATTTTATTATTGAGTTTAATATTGTGCATTATAGAGTAAAGTATTCTCTAAAAAATAAGATCACTTGCAGCTCTCTAAGGCCTTTCCTTGAGGAGATACGAACTTTTTAAAGTTTGTTACTTTATAAAAATGAGATGTTTTCCAGCTCTCCACCAAGTTTTCTGATAGAGTTCTGATCATTTTGTACGTTATATCACAAATGTGACTTTTTCAGAGGCTTCAAGGCACAATATTAAACTCAATAATAAAATAAATTTAAAAGCCCAAAAAAAGAGGGATTACGATTCATTTCCTCTGATGGTACACATTAGGATTCAACAATATATATACTATTGGATAGAGCAAGTCTTTCTCCAGAAGCTCATACATATCCAGTTTTGGAGTCGAACATCACACTGAAATTTATAGTCGCCTTTAAAGCAAATGTATAAAGTTATGCACAAACTTTAAACTAAATTAACTGTATGTTTTATGCAGATGACTATTATTCAACAAATTTACACTCAATCTACCAGGTAATAGTAAAACATAACAACATTCACAGACACCTGCCCGAACAGTACACACACACACACATCCATCTAGAAGTTTTTTTAAATAATGTGTTAAAGAAAAGGTAAACAGAAACACTAGTAATAGTTCTATATATAAATAATATTAATAATATATAGATAATATTCTAATTATAAACAAATAATTGAGAAGCGTGTTAGGAGAGTCGATACTAATTATTATTCAAATCTATTCAATATTTTTGATTATTTATGAAATAATTAAAACGTATAGACTACATATATTAAAATATCTGCCGTAAATAGCAACAACAAGTTATTCAAACACTGCAATATTAATAATCATATAAAGTCTCTTTCTTTCCTTCTCTAGTTTTTTAATTATCCAATGGCAAAGTTTAACTTTTTCAATTTCTGATCAAACGCTTCTTACGATAAAACTTACAGATGGTATAAAGCTACTCCAAGTTGTTGTTAGTTGCTAGGGTAGCAAAGAAAATTTGCATTCACATGTTGATTAAGCTTGAAATCATCATTTCCTCTTGAGATTGACAATATTTAAAATCGGTATTTAAAAACAGTATCTACAACAATTGCGGTCTTGCTCATAAAAGAGCCAGTAATGGTCTCTGTAAGAAAATGGCTCAATATAATTTCAAACGCAAATAGTTTAGAATTCTCAAAATGCTTCACTTCAGAAGTTGTTTAAACTTTTAAAACTTTTTCTGAAAAACTGCACAGAAAAATCTCTTATAATTACTCATGTCTCAATCAATGGCATCCATCATTTATCCCAAACTTTTCGCATGACTTCCAAATACTTAACAAGAACTTATATATAGGAAACTAGAGAATTTTTTCCGTTTCAAAATGAACTATAAACAAGCTTTTCAAAAATATGTCCGTGTAAAGCCATTCTCGACTTTTAGATTATGAGAACGAAGGGGTCTTATATTTATAGAGGATTTTTTAATCTATCAATTTCTTTAGTATCATTTTCTACAACTACATTTCTGAAAATTTTCTAGAGGATTTTTCCCGGCTCCAAATCCATGAAGTTGAAAAGAAATCCATAAATTACATGAATTTTTCGTAAAAAAATATTATTTTAAGCGGATATTTAAAACTGTTCAGATCCCAGAATCCGGTGAAACTTAGCGAGATATGTTAAGCTATCTTGTGAACACAAGAAAGTTACTTCAAAACATAACTAAATACAAATTCTGTAAATATATAACATTTCAACCGGCTTGGTTCTAAAGTTAAGGGGTGAAGGTGGAATGCAAAATCAAGATTTGAATACAGTGCTTTACAATGTTTTTAAATACACCATTAAACTTTATTTGTCAGTTTTGGAACCTCCCATTAAATAACTTGATTCTATAAAAACATCAGCTTTCTAGAAAACCAAGGCAAAGGGCTTAAACATTTTTTCGGATGGAATAAATGAAACCAGCATATCAGAAGATCTACAGAAAATAAAGTTCAAAACTTTCTGAGCATTTTCCACTGACTTAGTTGTATAGAAAACCTGGGTTTCCGAAAAAACAGAAGGAAAGCACTTCGAAATTTTTATAAGTGACCTAGTAGAAAGAGCATATCAGAAAATCTCGAAAAAGGTGTCTTCTTAAAATTTCCAAACGCGTTTCCAGAAAGTTATACCAGAGTGTAAGGCAAAATTGCGCCTTGTGATATCCCACCTCTTTTTTTTCTTCGTTTCTAATTTTTAATGTTACTTCTACATCAGTTACGCTGAATGAATACTTAGCAAACGTAGATGTTTTTATTATGTTCTCTATTGACAAAAGGTTTGCACTAAATGATTAAATGTGTAAATACTGAAAACTTTTCAAATATAAAAAAAGCAACTCGTCGATTTATAGAAAATATCGATTTACAAAGTCTCGTTTTATGTTGAGATTACTTCTTATCGATAAATGCGTATAAATATTTTTCTTTATTTAATTAATTTGAGTGAGAAAATACTAATTGAAACTTTGTTACTGGATAATAATCAAATGTCATATCATTCGTCGTATTTGTCTTCTTTAAAATTTACTAATTTTTCGTTTTCCTATTCAATAAGTGATACTCGTTTATATTTAATCATTTTTGACATTGATCGAAGACGAGAAAGACATAATCGATATTCCACTGATGATAAAACAAAATCCTACTAACCAAGTCAATGTAATATGTTCAGAAAATAAGAGTGATCCAACAAGAGCACTTGCTAAAAAATTGCACGTTTTTGTTATCACAGTTGGATAAATAGAATTTGTTGATAATGCTAATGATTTTGAATAAAAATTCCACATACATACATTTGACAAAATAAATAAAACAAAATAGATACCAAAAAGGAAAAGAGTAGATTGATGATAGTTTGAATCAAATGTAAACTTAGCAAATAATGATGCTAAGCAAGCACATAATCCAGCTAATATGGAATAGAAATTGGAACGAGATAACATAGACAGTTGATCTAAAATGGAAAACATCTAACATAGAATTTATAAATATAAGAAAGATAATCATTTCGTTTTATAATATGAAAAAGTTTCATCAAGAGGAAAATTCATTGATAGTGAACGAATTAGAGTGTTTTTTTAATTTTCAATATACATATATGATTTTGTTTTAGATATGGATCGTTGACGTTGAGTATGCAAGATGAAAATGGTTAAAAGATGTAACAAAATAATTACTAAAAAGTAAGTTTTTATCGAAAAGAACACGCTGATTGATTCACTTTTCATAGAGATTTCTGGAACAGTAAGCAACAATCGAAACATTTAGCCAAAAATCGAACTTGTTCTATTAATCTGGAATACAAAATCAGGATTTGAAGATTTTTCAAATATACCATTAAAAAAAGACGAACCAGAAACTCTATAAAACCTTTATTTGTCAGTTTTGAAACCTCATTGAATAGCCTGATTTTATAGAAAATAAGGTGATACTCAGAATCAGTGTGCTCGAACTATTTGTATCACATGATAGTTGTCTGGAAAATTGATGCTCTAAAATTTTCGACTGTGATCAATTTCAAAAATGTCAGATATCCACACGATATACTAAAAGTCTCCACTGCGTCTCTCTTTTAAAACGCACGAAGATATCATTATCCTCCAAATAGATTCAACTTCTTACTTGTACGTAAATTTTTCTAAAATTATTAATTTTAATTCGTTTATTATAATCAGGAAATGGCAACACAACCAAATTTTTCTAAACAAGTAATACAATGATGAAATACACATAGTAAGTAGTATTGACCGTTTTATTGCAAAATCCAAAGATGTAAAATGCCATGAGAAATGGTGAGAAGTGCTAAAATGTTGAAAAAATAAATGTATCTTCTCAAAGAGAATGAAGTTCTTTCGAATGGTTTCGCAAGCATTAAAACACGGTTTTAGTTTGTAGTATGTAGTTTCAAATACGCTCTGTCTCGTCGTGTAGAGCGAAAAAATCGTTTGAATCTAAGTTAAATGCCCGGTACAAAGATTCATTTCTTAGTAATCAAGCGAAAAAAAGCAAAAATTGTTACGGTGGAACAAAACAAAGTTTTTTTCGAGATTTTAGAAATGCGGTCATAACAACTAATCATTTATTTTCAAAATTAAAAATATCAATCTGAATGGATCAAGTTTGACTAAGCTTTATTTGTTTTATTGGAAGGCTCAAATTATTGGTTAAAAATCATTATTTTTTGAAAAATTAATAATCAAAAAAAAAATAATCAAATTCCTGCGCCCTCAATTCTAACTGAAAATTATTTAAATTACAGATGAAAAATAGAGCTTTTCGAGGCGTACACGATGGCTACTTTAGCTTTTCTCTCTCACAAACTTTTAGCAGATAATATTAAAAAAAACTGTTAACTACATTTATTTTTTCAACATTTTAGTACTTCTCATCATTTCTCATGGCATTTTACACCTTCGGATTTTGCAATAAAATAGTCAATACATTTTTTGTAGAAAATTCAATAAGAAATCTTTTGGTAAAAAAACTAGCTCAATCAAGTGTAAGGAGGAGGAGAAAATTTGAAAATACAACCAGTCTAATTTATTCTGCTCCACTCGATAGATCAGTACAAATTTCACCATCATAATGAACTGCATAATTTTAATATTTTCTTGTTTCTTACCACCAAATACATACAACTATTTGTTTTCAATAAATAAAATTTGTTGATAATGTGAAATTGTCACAAACATACTATTATTTTCTTTTTATAATTGAACACGTAAAATACATGTGATACGAAAGTATAAATTTAATTACATGTGTATAAAAAAATATCAAAACGCAGTACAGTAAATACTCGTAAAGATAGATCAAAAATACAAAAAAATAATTTCGTCCGATAATCGATAACCGTTTTAGAATCATACAGTTATACGATAGAAAAATATCTGATTATGACACTTGAATAAGAAATATAAGTCATATGACTTTGAGCGAATATAAACAAAAATAGAATAACAGATACCTGACATACTGTCGAAACTTAGTTATAATATTAAACGAAAATAAGAAAGAAAGAAGTTCATTAGGTTTTCATGGGACGTGGACGATTTCTTTTTAAATTTGGATCATTAACATTGAGTACATAATGTAAAATAGATTTGAATGCATCATAAGGTAAAAAAGATTTCATAAATTCGAGAAAACGATACCATTTTGGAATATATAAAAATTTTTGATTTGTTATAACACCCTGTAATAGAAACATCTATCATTTTAACCATGTGTACAACAAACAGATAAGCAGTATTTGATTGTTTTTACCTGAACAATTTTTCTTGCTACATCTGTTGATGACATGAAATTAACTGATTCTGGACTGAAAAATTGAAGACAAACCATTTGTGATAAGTCACATCCACATTTCGCTTTACTTACATGACTATTTCTGTCACTTTTTTTGTCAGACCACCTTTTATTGGACCACTGATGACGATTGTTATATGAACACCGTGACATTTTGAACGAAAAATTTCATCTTCTAGACATTCCATGTAACCTAGAATGTAAATAAGAATGTTAGTATTTGAGTGATATACACTTCTAACCATTTTCACATGAATATATAGATAAAAATTAATAATTAAAAACTCGTTCTCTTTCATATTCTTAAATTCACAATTAATTTGATTAAAGTAATTATGATTTTTATCAATGTTCTAAGATTATTTATTTTTTCTATTTACCTATTAGAGCAAATTTGGATGCAGAATAGTCACTTAAATGGGATAATCCAAACAGACCGCAATTGCTTCCAACTAAAAAATAAAATAATCACTCATATCTACCGTAAAAAGTATAGATCATTTGCCTAAACTGATAATAATCTTATTCTATAGAACTTTTTTTAGCTTTAGAATTCAATTTAGCATCAACATACTTGCTACAATATGTCCAAAGTGACGATCGATCATAGCTGGAAGAAACTGTTGATTAATCTAAAAAGAGAAAATATTTTCGTTTTGTTCGAAACAAAAAACAGGAAAAAGTCTTACATAGAAATGTGATTGTATATTAACAGCAAATGTCTTTCGAATATCTGCAACATCCAAGTCTAACACATTCTTACATGTCACAACACCTGAATAAAGAAACAATACTAGAACACTATTATCAGCTAATTTTTATTCGGTAAGTACATACCTGCATTATTAACAACAATACTAACATTTCCAATGTCATGACGAATTTTTCCAGCAGCTTTACGAATTTCATCCGGATTTCTAAGCGCAAGAAAGAAAAATAATTAAACTTGGACCTTTCTTTGATGTAAAAGTTGTCGAAGAATATACTTTCGTTCTCTATTGATATATACTAGTGCTTAGGATCGTGCAGTACCAGTTCTTTGCCAGAAAAAATTAGTTTATTAGGAGACTGTGAGCACAAAACAAGTCGTGAGTATAGACTTATAACACTGTATAAAAGTGTTGCTGTGCGGAAATGTTGTAGCTTTGATTCTAGATAAAATGCAGAAGACTGTTATTCGAATGGTGTATTTAGTGATTAAAACAGCAGACGTGAATGGTAATATACATGGCATAATGGATAATATGCAATTAAATAATAGTATTAGTAGAAAGTCAACACCTAGTATTGATACACAACAAACACTTAGGACCTGTATTGAGACGCGTGTTGCACGCACTGGTGTTCACATAACAATCGTCATCAGTGGTCCAATAAAAGGTGGTCTGACAAAAAAAGTGACAGAAATAGTCATGTAAGTAAATCGAAATGTTGATGTGGCTGATTACAAATGGTTTGTCTTCAATTTTTCAGTCCAGAATCAGTTAATTTCATGTCATCAACAGACACACTTGTGGTTTTCGCCATTCGAGAGAGAAAACTTTGCGTATCTTTCCAAAAGAAAAATGATTTTCAAAATTGACCTTTCAAGGTTTTCTAGGAGATCTTTGAAGAAACCAGACCATAACACCAAAGGTTCGAATAAAAATCTATTAATTTTTTTTGTGAATAAGTAGCCTAAAGCGTTCTCATCAAAATGGAAGTCAAATGAGATGCTGATTTTCAGCGATTTGGGCATGGTTGTGGGTTTCCTTGGAGCCCCAGGATTGGTATCCGATAACCTGAGTAACCTGAAATCGTATGGTACATACGGAATCGACCACACTGAATCTGGTGGTGATGTTTGTTTTTGTGTAAAATCCGAACATGTGGCCAAACTGGAGTTTTATGAAAATTAGCGGTTCGAGGATGATTTCATCTAATATTAAAAAATTCACAACTCACTCCGAAACCACCAGAACGAATTGAGAACTACAGACTACGGTTAGTTTTATACGCTAAACGTAATTATGGGATCGAAAAAATTGAGAAGTCATGGTTTCGCCCAAAAGCTTTTTAGAAAAGCTTCTAGACACCATAGGTTTTGTAAATTTTTCTTTATAGACCTTTTATGAGTGAGATAGCAAATAGCCTAAATACTAATATTATTACGATTAATGGGCAATAAGGACCATAACTAATTTATGAGTTTGAGTTATGAGAGTTATGAGGATTAATGGTTGGTTTCTGAGTGAGTTGTAAATTTTTTAATATTAGGTGAAATCATCCTCAAACTGCTAATTTTTATCAAACTGCAGTTTGGTCACATGTCTGGATTTTTATACAAAAGCAAACATTACCATCAGATCCAGTGTGGTCGATTCCGTATGTACCATACGATTTCAGTCACACAAGTTATCGGTTACCAATTCATCAGAAAAGAACGTTATTATTTAAAGGTGCGGTAGTCGATGGGCCGGCAAATCTAGTATGTAATGCTTATTATAGCACATGTGAGTAGACATTAGATTAGTATGTGCATTGTACATATACGTAACGGAAGTTAAATTCTCGTAAACAGAAGCTAAAAACCTTGTTGGAATACTTAAAAACCGGTCTGCATGATTTAGTTTTGCGAGATCTATTCACTAACATACTTAAAAAGCTAATTTAACATTTACAATTAAAAAAAAGTTGAAGAAAAATAGAATTTTGGTAAGAGTTTCTGTAAAAACCCGTCGAAAATCGAGACCGCGTCATATGCAAACGTCGACAAACTCCTACGCTTGTTTAGTTTTTGATTCTCTATCGAATGACGTCTTTAAAATACTCATAGCACTTACGTGTCCGGAGTTATATAAATTTTCAAAAAAAGGGAAATTTTAACTTTACGCTGAAGACTTGAAACTTTATTCAAAATCTAGCCTATTCTGTTCTGAATACGATGGTCACCTGAAAAATCTTTTAAAGCAGTAGCATTTCCTAGAAAAAAGTCTTTCTGTATCCAGGTATGCCCAAAACCATGATTTTCTAGAAAACCCACTTCCACGCGTTTTGAAAAAAAACTAAGTGAAGAAAATGAAAGAGCATAGTTCAAAGCCATTAAAGCGTTAAGTACCCCATTCCTTCACAAACGAAAGTGTCTTTATCGCCCATGGCTGTTCAGAAGCTGAAAATGCGATACTCAATTAGACGAAAATTATCAAAAATTATTCAGATGGCATATCGACTCTTGTTTCATTATGAATTCCATCGCTTCCATAAGATCCAATCACAAAGCAACCGTTCCTTATGCCTTTTGGGACCGTCAACGCATGTTCAACTTTGGCTGTAACAAGTGAACGGGGATGGGAGATCCAGAAAAGAGCCAGAAAGACTTGTTTACGTAAACTTAATTTTGAAGATAAACTTTAGGCGCGTGACGCCTCAAACAACGGGTTCCTCTACAGCTAGTAGTTGTCAATTGTAAAGAGCAAATTAGGAATTTTCATGAAAGAACACGCACGTTATGTCCACCTTTTGGCAAACCATTCTTCTGTGACCAAAGCCATTGTATAACTCTTGATACGTTCGTTGATTATTCACATCATCAATGTCCCATAGACAAAGAAATGCTCCATGTTTAGAAAATTCAATCGCTAAACTTATAAGAAAGAAACATAACAGAGGAATGTCAAAAAGTTTCCATCTGCACTAACCCAATGCACGTCCTAATTCCCCACCGCTTCCAGTTATGAGAATAATTTCATTTCTTATTGATTTTTTTGGTGCTGGAAATACTGAAAAGACTATTGCTCTTATAAAAGCAATGATAATACGATAAATGCATTCGAATAAGCCGGTTTGGCCCATTATATTCAAAGACTTTAATCACCTCGGTAAGTGAGTGTTTCAAGTGTTTGTTTCAAAAATGATAAATTCGTTCATAAAATTTAATGCTGTGTTCGTTGTCTTTCACAGCATGTTTATTCGTAAGTTGTTGAACATATAGAAAAATGTAAAATAAACTTTTTATTATAGGTGTAAGAACTCCAGAAATACAACGGAATATATTGAATGGATGAATACAAAAACAATTTTTATATTTTTGGATGCTGCGTGTTCACGTTTAGTACTCTAAAAAGAGAGCCATTAGCGCTACCGTCAATGTGATACATCTCACGAAACGAAAGCATTATTTTTGAAAGTATATCAATAAAAAAATTAATGATTAAAGTAATGTTAGACAACATATTTCTATGATGCTGTTGTTATTCCAGTTACCGAAGAAAGTCCTGCTGTGCTGATGTTATGGTACTCCAGACCAATGAGACCCGTTTCAAGACATTCCACGTAGGCTTTGCATATGTATTAGATTGAAACTTAGCTTAAGCAGTAGTATTAGTGCCAGCTGATGAACAGTAATTTTGTTGTGCCATTCATTTTCTGTTACTATTGTTCAATCGTTTCACTGTCAAGAAAAGCGTGCACGTATACATAAAATAAAATACAATGAGAGCAGCAGCAGCCCCAGTGTTTCCAACAGCCTTTATCGCTGAGCGTACGCATACGCTCTGTTATTTTCGCAAAGCGTACACATTTCAGATCTAAAAAAGAAAGCATCAATAATTAGAGGGGAAAAATAGAAACTTTCTTTATACAGTTTTTTTTTTCTAGAAAGTAACTTTGGAGACACAGACAATTACAAATAGAGAAAACGTCGGTGATCTTGTATAACAAGAAAAAAGTCTCTTTTCCTGTCTGAGTACTCACTATTGCTATAGCATTGCTATCGCTGCGATAGGAAAGCATACACTGTACTCTCTCCAATACTACGATACGTTTTCTTTTTCCTTGGATATGGTTTTAGGCAATCTGTTTGTAAAATATGTTTCTTCTCCCAAAGAGTTTGTTCAGCCGTTTCCATGTCATTGTTTTTTTTTTAAAATCCGCCGAGATTTCGCATTTTGGTGGAATATCGAACAATTTCGAAAAAAGGGAAAATTTCGTCGAAATGACACTGAAGGATCGAAATTTTGCAGATTCTTGAACGAAATAGCGGTGGGATTTCCGAACAGAATTTTGCGGAATCTCGCTGAAATTTAAGCGAGATTTAAGACATGGGTTACCAGAAGGTTGAGGAGAAAAGTATAACGTTGCTTTAGTAAAATGTCGCCTGTTTAATTATTTAGCTTTGGCACTATCACAATTTAAACTTACTCAAGTATGGTGACGTGATAGTCAATTTGTAGAAGTGAAGACACGTGTTTATGTTTCAGTAAATTGTTGCTATTCGATAATAACACTAAACTATCGAATCTTTGTATCCCTGCTTTGCCCAATAAGTGCAGCTATGAAACGGCACTGTATTTCATCGTACATTAAAGTGTACTGATTTTTGCTTATGGAAAGCAGCTCTGTTCTTTGTTTGTCAAATTTATATGCACTTTTGTTTTTTCCAGTACGCGCCTCTTTTATCGTCGAGAATCATTGAGAAATCTAATATACTCTTCCACTTATTTTTTATTTTGATTCTATTTTTATTAACTGTATCAGAAACTACATCTGATGAAATAACATTCACATTAAGAGTTATCGTCACTTAGAATTTATTGTGTTGTTATATTTTCATATGTATGTTTCTGTTTTCAGATGTCAAATAATGAACAAAAACTTATTGAAAATGAAACTCCTCCTCCTTCTTATAATGATGTAACGTCACAAAATCCTGGTAAAAATTCTTTCTTATTGCCACCTGAGCCACTATTTTTTACATTTTCTCTTTTATTAAACAAAAGCAATATCAGCCAGTCATAGTTATGGGACTTTTATTGGTACTTCAGCTCCAACAACAGCTGCGAATGAATATCTGTATTCTAGTCCTATCGTCACAGGTTACCCTGTATCATCTCAGCAAATATCAGACCCAAATGTGATTATTATTGGTACGTGTCCCGTATGTAGAACCGGTATGTTAGATACCGATTTTACATTTCTTGGAATTTGTTGTGCAATATTTTGCTTTCCCATCGGTTTAATATGTTGTCTTGCATTTCGTCAACGACGATGTAATTTTTGTGGTGCAGTTTTCGATTAGACAAATTCTTGATATATTTTTATATCTCTTGAACTATTTCTTTTCGAACTGTAATACAGTTATTCTTGTCTATATTTTCATTTTTTTAAACTGAAATCCCTTGTGAATAGTCTGTACAGCCAAAATTATTATTGATTTTTAAATACATTACATGCCATTAGTTATGCATTTGTCAAGGTTATTAAATATAATAAAAAACATTAACAAATATTTATAATTACAAAAAATATAGCTATTTACTTCTTATTGATGGTTATAAATTCAAACTGCCACCAACAAATCCATTGTTCACAATAGAGAGAATAACACCAAAAAGTCTTGGAGAAATTCAGTTCAAGTGTTGATAGTGTGTCATAGATTGCAAGAGTAGACCTTGAAAAAGGTTACCACTTAAAAATAATTCTACTTGAAAAAGTTTTTATATGAATGGTTGCTAGCTGATGGAGAAGCACCGGTCTGTCATACCATACACATCCCTACAATAATATATATATATATAGAGAGAGAGAGAGAATAAAAGATACAGCAGATATTTCTCCATACTGTAATGTCCATTAGGTGATCAAATCGTAACATATGGAAGAAAAGAGATACAGCGTAACAGTTTTCTTTATCGACTCGTGATGTGATGTTTTGGTATAGTAATCGCATTAAACTGCCACTAAACTAAAACCACAGCATTAAAGTACAGCTTTTCTGTTCGTCCTCGCCCTGGGCTAGATTCATAGGTTGTCAGGCTATATACGCCAATCAGAAACCGAATGCGAATATCTACACATATATATACATATATATGCGTATATCGAAAAAAGTTAAGTTTCTGTCTTACTGTCAGTGCTAAAAAGCTCAAGTTATAGCAAACAATTATTTATAACTGTAACATTGTTTATTATATAATTTCATCGTTGTAACTGTCTCTATAAGAAAGATACATCGATTGATATGGCATTTGACAGTAAGAGAGAGACTTAACTTTTTTCGAGGTACCTAAACTTTCGGATGACCCTTTAGCAACCGTTCATTAATTCATTAACCCTGATCCGTCCACCTGGGATCCAAACGGATCCCAGACGAAAACAAGTGCTTTGAAGCTATGTCTTACTACTCTGCAAAATAAACTAATGAGTGGATGCAATCAGTTCATATTGATAGTACACCCTATTGTCATTCAGTGGAATATAAATTGAAAGGATAAAATCTAACCGTTGTGTTCAGACAGCATCAAAATGAAATCGGTAGAATTTGGGTATATTATAGGTGGTCGGATCAGGGTTAAAAATATTTTTGAAGCTCTTTCAAGTTCTAATTCTGCACTCTCTCCAGTGTGGAAGGAGGGTGACCAATTTGAAAATACGCACAGACTTTCGTCCTGACAAATGGCATACTGACAAACGTATCAACTATGATAGCGATGTGGATGGATCGTTTGCAATATTGAAAAAGGCATTAGGAGTGAGTTCGAGAAGTTTAACTTGAATTTAATTTCTGATATTTTTTAGATAACTTTTTTATTATAATTTGTAAAAATGAAATTAAAAGAAATCGATCGAACCGTTCACGTAGCTTGGTCACCAGCTGGTCAACAACCAATATATCTTGTAGCTGGTACAGCAGCTCAACAACTCGATGCATCATTTAGGTATTGAACGTTGACTTTTAAGATTTTTTCTTCTCACTATTTTACTCCTTTATCTATTTTTAGTACAAATTCAACGTTAGAATTATTTCAATTAAATATAGCTGATAGAAGTGCAGCCATGACACCACTTTCAGCAATCAAAACTGACAACAGGTAAAAAAGTATTATTGAAATCTCTTCGTTTTGACAACTGATGTCACTTCACGTGTGAAACGTGTTCACGTCAGTCTGCGCACATATAAACAGAATCAGTATAAATGTGAAAATTAACGCTTTTTTCCAAGAGACAGATTGAATGGAAAAGGAAAGAACGTTAATGTTTGTGACCTGTTGACATGACTCATTGATTAGTTCTTTTTTAGATTCAAGAAATTGATTTGGACCAATTTTTCATCTTCTCATCAACAAAATCTTTTAATTTGTGCAACTGAAAAAGGTTCT